AATGAAACGGAATTTCACTCTTGTTGCCCAGGGCTGGAGTGCAATGGCGTGATCTCGGCTCACGGCAACCTCCACCTCCCAGGTTCAAGCGATTCTCCTGCCTCAGCCTCCTGAATAGCTAGGATTACAGGCATGCACCACCATGCCCAGCTAACTTTGTATTTTTAGTAGAGATGGGGTTTCTCCGTGTTGGTCAGGCTGGTCTCGAACTACCGACCTCAGGTGATCCGCCCACCTTGGCCTCACAAAGTGCTGGGATTACAGGCATGAGCCACTGCACCTGGCCCATTTTGCCTTTTAAGTGGCATTGTGACTTAAGGAAAGCATCTTGAAGACTGTGGCTGTTGGTTTTTCTCATCTGATGATACTAGTAGTACTCATGTCACAGGGTGGTTCTGAGAATTGACGAATAAGGTAATGTGTAGGAAACTGATCTATAGAAAGCTGTCTGAATGTTGATTAGTCACTCTTTCAGAAATAAGTTTGCCTTTTTTTTTTTTTTGAGACTGGGTCTCACTCTGTCCACCAGGCTGGAGAGCAGTGGCGCATGATCACAGCTCACTGCAGCTTGGACCTCCGGGATTCAGGTGATCCTCCCACCGCAGCCTCCCTAGTAGCTGGGACTACATGTGTGTACCACTGTGCCAGGCTAATTTTTGTATTTTTTTTTAGAGGTGGGGTTTGGCCATGTTGGCCAGGCTGGTCTCAAATTCCTAACCTCAAGCAATCTGCCCGCCTCAGCCTCCCAAAGTGCTGAGATTACAGGTATAAGCCATCATTCCTAGCTGAGTTTAACAAGTGCATTTTCATTCTATGAATGCGGAGTTAATCTGACTTCTCTTTAAGAGTCACTTAGACGTGTTAACATTTGGTGTGAGCAGGCTGTATATTTTGTGTACAGATTGATAAGCTTTTACCTAAAAGTGTTAATTCAGGATGTGCATTGGTGGGAAAAAAGTTCATTGATATTCTGGTATATTTGGACATTGCTTTATATCTTTTATATAAATTATATAATTCTGCAGGGAACTTATTGTTTATTCCAGCATACAGCAGAGGCTCAGGTATACTAAGGGACTGCCTAAGATTACATAGCTAGTAAGGAACTGGAGTCAGACAATACACACATGAGGCCGAACAAATCCAACATCTGATGAGCAGCAGCTTCTCCCTGTTGTAGTTTTCTCTTTCCTAGAAGATCTCGAGGGACTTTAATTCTCTATTTTAACTTTCTTGAGGTTGTAAAGGTGAGAACAGGTAGATAATTGGGTCTCATCTTTTCTCCCGAAGCTTAATTATTTTTCTCCATTCTGCCTGTTAGAATTTTTATCTCAAAATTCCTAAAAGGTATGTATTAAGACAGCTTTTCAGAGAGTAATGATTGTTATAAGTTGGAGTCTCAATCCCAGTCTCTGGATTTTTTTTTCTTTCTGTGGAGACAGGGTCTCACTATGTTGCCCAGGCTGGTCTCAAACTCTTGGGCTAAAGCAATCCTCCCACCCCTGCCTCCCATGGTGCTGTTATTACAGGCATGAGCCACCATGCCTGGCTAGTCTTTTTGTGTTTAGTTATTTATTTGAAATGGAGTCTTGTTCTGTTGCCTAGGCTGGAGTGTAGTGGAATGATCTCAGCTCGCTACAGCCTTCTACCTCCCGGGTTCAAGCAATTCTCCTGCCTTAGCCTCCTGAATAGCTGGGACTACAGGTGCACACCACTATGCCTGGCTAATTTATTATTATTATTATTTTTTTTTAAGACGGGGTTTCACCATGTTGGTCAGGCTGGTCATGAACTCCCGACCTCAGGTGATCCGCCCGCCTTGGCCTCCAAAGTGCTTGGATTACAGGCGTGAGCCACCGCGCCCGGCCCGGCTAATTTATTTTGTTCGTATTTTCAGTCAAGATGGGGTTTTGCTACATTGATGAGGCTGGTCTCAAACTCTTGGCCTCAAACCATTTGCCCCCCTCAGCTTCCTGAAGTCCTGGGATTACAGGTGTAAGCCACTGTACCCAGCCTTGTTTTGTTTTTAAATCTAGTATTTTCCACAGTTAAAAGTTAAGTAAACGCCCTATTCTTTTTTTCTTTCTTTCAAAATTGAGACAGAGTCTCACTGTCACCCCCGCTGGAATGCAGTGGTGCAGTCGTAGCTTACTGCAGACCTTTAACTCCAGGAGTCAAGGAATCCTCCTGCCTCAACCTCCCAAGTAGTTAGGATTACAGGTGTGCAGCACCATGCTTGGCTGATAAGAATTCTATCCAAAATGTTTCCTGTTGGTTATAAATTTGTTTAATGTGGTTGAACCATGTGAAGTTTTAAATAGTGACCCATTTTTAGTCTGTAATAATGGTACTTTAATACAGTACTGTGGTTCATAGTCAGCTATGAACATATTTTTTAGTCTATTCTGAAAATAGTTTTTTTTGTTTTTTTTTTTCCAAAATTAAACATACTTGTATTGACACTCTGTGAACCTCTTTGGAACAAACTAGGAATTCCTTGTGATCAATTCCTGGGTAAAATATGTGCTCAATAAAAAATAAATACTTGATTTGAGATGAATTTGAAGGCATTGTTAACATCTCAACTGTTACCCATATGTAACTTTTTTACCTGAGAGATAATAATATTTGTTGAATATCCACTACATGCAGAGATTGTTATTAGCACTTTATATACATTATGTGTTTCATTTACAACTTAAAAGGTATATATCCCCAGTTTTATTGTGTGCTGGGTATTCTCAGTCCTTTACTGTAGTTAATATTCATAATTTACCATTCCTAGTTTTGCAGATGAGGAAACCAAGGTATAAATTAGTTGATAAATGTGACCAAGAGCAATGCTCTTTTTTTTTTTTTTTTTGGCTTTTTTGAGGAGAGTCTCACTCTGTTGCCCAGGCTGGAGTGCAGTGACAGATCTCAGCCCTCTGCAACCTCTGCCTCTCGGGTTCACGCGATTCTCTGCCTCAGCCTCCCTAGTAGCTGGGATTACAGGCATGTGCCACCCCGCCTGGCTAATTTTTTTTAAATGTTTAGCAAAGACGGGATTTTGCCTTGTTGGCCAGGCTTGATCTAACCTCAAATGATCCGCCCCCCTTGGCCTCCCAAAGTGCTGGGATTACAGGCATGAGCCACCACGCTTGGACAAGCAACTACTCTTGAAAATAGAGCCACAATCTTAACCTTCAAGCTTGGCTGCTGTGTTTTGTGGCATATGTGCCAGCGGTTGACTGAGCTTCCTTTATCCTGTTGTGGCAATACTCACCATTCAAAATCATGCCTCAGCAGAGTGTAATATTGTCAGTGTCACGAATGTTCAGGTCGGAGTTGTGAATGCTAAATCCATGAAGGCCAGGAGTACTGTGTTCTAAGTCTCCCATGTAGTACAGGTATTGGTCCACTCTCTCTTGGCTCCTTTTTATTTATTTATTTATTTATGAATGTAACAGGGTTTCTCCATGTTGGTCAGGCTGGTCTCGAACTCCTGACCTCAGGAGATCCACCCGCCTCGGCCTCCCAAAGTGCTGGGATTATAGGTGTGAGCCACCACGCCTCGCCTCTCTTGGCTTCTGATAGGAAGAACTCTCATCATTTTTGTGCCTTGCACATATTCCCTCTAGGAGACTGTGGGAGTACATATTTGCCCTTAGCCTGTTACCTGCTAGTTTTTCACTGCTGAAATTCTCATGCTTCATAGTTTAGCCTAAAGCCTCCCTCTGTTCCCCCTAAGCTTTTCTGAGATCCCACATGGCACGTTTCATTTTTCAGTGTATCAAGGTCAGGTTTGTGATTTACCTTTGTACCTCCCCTAGATTAGGAAAGTGTTGAGGGTCAATCCTATTCCATTGTACTCATCTTTATGTTACCTAGACTACCCCTTATCACTGGTAGGCAAAATTAAGTTTACACTGTTGTCTGGCTGCTTTAAGTTATGATTTAGGCTTGGCATGGTGGCTCACGCCTGTAATCCCACCACTTTGGGATGCCAAGGTGGGCAGATCATCTGAGGTCAGGAGTTCGAGACCAGCCTGGCCAATGTGGTCAAACCCCATCTCTACAAAAAATACAAAAATTATCCAAGCGTGGTGGCATGTGCCTGTAATACCAGCTACTTGGGAGGCTAAGACAGGCAAATTGTTTGAACCCAGGTGGTAGAGGTTGCAGTGAGCCAAGACCGTGCCACTGTACTTCAGCCTGGGTAGAGAATGAGACTGTGTCTCAAAAAAAAAAGATATGATTTGAGTGTCCTCACTAGATACTGTTCTGTCCACCTCATCCAGCCTCTTCCCCCTAAGATGTCCAACATGAGTCCAGCACAGTGGCTCATCCCTATAATCCCAACACTTTGGGAGGCTGAGGTGGGAGGATCACTTGAGACCAAGAATTTAAGGCCAGCCTAGGCAACATAGTGAAATCCTATCTCTACAAAAAAAAATTTTTTTTCAGTTGGCTGGTGTGGTGGCGTGCCTATAGTCCCAGCTACTCGGGAGACTGTAGGAGGAGGATTGCTTGAGCCCACGAGTTTGAGGCTGCAGTGAGCTATAATCGTGCCACTGTACTCCAGCCTGAGTGACAGAACAAGACCCCATCTCAAAAAATAAAATTTGACCAGTCACAGTTGCTCATGCCTGTAATCCCAGCACTTTGGGAGGCCAGGGCGAGTGGATCACCTGAGGTCAGGAGTTCAAGACAAGCCTGGCTAACATGGCGAAACCCCTTCTCTACAAAAAATATAAAATGATGGCACACACCTGTAATCCCAGCTACTCGGCAGGCTGAAGCAGGAGAATCACTTGAGCCCAGGAGGTCAAGGTTGCAGTGAGCCAAGACGGCGCCATTGCATGCTAGCCTGAGCTACAAGAGCAAAACTCTGTCTCAAAAAAATAAATTTTTTAAAATTTTTTTCAAAGATGGGGTTTCACCATGTTGGTCAGAGTGGTCTTGAACTCTCGACCTCAGGTGATCCGCCGGCCTTCACCTCCAAAGTGCTTGGATTACAGGCATGAGCCACCAAGCCCGGCCAAAAAATAAAATTTTAAAAGATGTCCAACATGGCCAAGCTCTTATTTCATTTCCCCAGGAGCTCCATTTGATTGTCAGAAAATCTGTCCTACCAGAAGTTATTCTTCTACTTTTTATAGTTTATCACAAGATCTACAGCAATTCCAAAGCCCTGTTACCACTGGCCATTTCTCAAACCTTTTCCAAATACCATCTTATTTTGTCAGTGCCCTGAACAGCAACATCAGCCTGTCTACACCCTAAAGCTGGGGTTTCCTCTTGAAGGTCTGTTCTGGCAACAGCAGATCATTCTTCCTTTTCCTGTCCTCCTCACTCTGACCTACTCATTTTGGTGAATTCTCAGTGCAACACATTTGTCTCTTCAGCAGAAGCTCTGGAGTTAGACAATCCTGGGGTTGGATTCTAAAACCGTGGTATTGGTTCGCTACATGACCTTTGTTTCCACCTCTGTGAAGCAAGGATAATGAAATTTGTTGTGAAATTCAATGTGCTAATATACTTAAAGTACTTGGCACATGGCAGGTGTTGAATGAGTGGTAGTTATTACTTTCTTAATTGAATTTTGCATGCTTTTTCTTTTCAGAGAGCCCGAGCCCAGCACATTGTGCCCTGTACTATATCTCAGCTGCTTTCTGCCACTTTGGTTGATGAAGTGTTCAGAATTGGGAATGTTGAGATTTCACAGGTACGCCAAATAATTTGTGAAAGAATCACTCATAATAATGAATGAAATAAGATTTACTTCATTTAAAAGTACAAAAATGTAGCCTTGGTTTCAGGGGAAACAGGACTCTTTTTTGTTTTGTTTTCCTTCTCACCTAGGTCACTATTGTGGGGATCATCAGACATACAGAGAAGGCTCCAACCAACATTGTTTACAAAATAGATGACATGACAGCTCCACCCATGGATGTTCGCCAGTGGGTTGACACAGATGTAAGTGGCTGTTTTTGAATCATGACTGAGTTACTTTGGAACTATGGAGATGTTGAACTTTTTTAGCCTTTTTAATTTTTTTTAATAAAAATAATACATAAGAAAGATATCAAAGACAGATACCCTAAAATGAAAGGTTCGTAGATTTGATTAGATACCTTCCTGAAAATATCATAAACAAAATTAAAAGTCAAATGACAGGAGACAGTAGAATTAGAACAAAGATTTTTTTTTTGTTTTCCAGATAGAATCTTGCTCTGTCACCCAGGCTGGAGTGCAATAGCATGATCTCAGCTCACTGCAATGGCCGTCTCCCAGGTTTAAGCAATTCTCCTGCCTCAGCCTCCCAAGTAGCTGGGATTATAGGTGCCTGCCACCATGCCTGGCTAATTTTTTGTATTTTTAGTAGAGACTAAAGGGTTTCGCCATGTTGGCCAGGCTGGCCTCAAACTCTTGACCTCAGCCTCTCAAAATGATGAGATTGCAGACATGAGCCCTCATGCCCAGGCTAGAACAAAGATTTGTTTTGTTTTGTTTGTTTGTTTGTTTAATTTTATTTTAGAACAAAGATTTTTATCTCAGTCACTACTGTAGCCTTAGCACCTAGACCAGTGCCAGTCGCATAGTGGTCCTTGAGTAAATATCGTTTAAATAAATGGAGCAAATATTTGCAACATATTACAAACATTTAAATTTTTAATTAATAAAAAGCTCTTTTTTGGCCGGGCATGGTGGCTGACACCTGTAATCCTAGCACTTTGGGAGGCCGAGGTGGGCGGACCACTAGAGGTCAGGAGTTTGAGACCAACCTGGCCAACATGGTAAAACCCCATCTCTACTAAAAAATATAAAAAATTAGCTAGACGTGGTGGCAGGCGCCTGTAATCCCAGCTGCTCGGGAGGCTGAGGCAAGAGAATTGCTTGAACCGGAAGGCAGAGGTTGGTTGCGGTGAGTCGAGATTATGCCACTGTACTCCAGCCTAGGTGACAGCTAGCCTCTGTCTCAACGAGAACAAACAACAACAAAAAAGCTCTTTTTTTTGCTGTTTTTGGTTTTGTTTGTTTGTTTTTGAGACAGTCTCTGTCACCAAGGCTGGAATACAGTGGCACAATCTCGACTCACTGCAACCTCCACCTTTTGTGTTCTAGGAATCCTCCCGCCTCACCCTCCCAAGTAGCTGAGATTGCAAGTATGTGCTACCATGCCTGACTGAATTTTGTATTTTTACTAGAGTCAGGGTTTTACCATGTTGGCCAAGCTGGTCTCAAACTCCTGACTTCAAGTGATCTGCCCACCTTGGCCTCCCAAAGTGCTGGGATTATAGGCGTGAGTCACCACACTCAGCCAAAAAGCTCTTATAAAACCAGAAAACCACTGCACCTTAGATAAATGGGCAAACAAGATGCACAGATAATGCATAAAGACAGTAGAAATGGTAGTGGTAGTAACTAAAGCAGGCTTAATAAACATTGAGATACCATTTTTAGCTTAAGTTTGCAAAGAAAACAAAGAATGTCAATGTCCAGTTCTAGTGAGAGAGCAGCTACCACACAGTGCCCTAGCTTAGTGGTAGGCACTTAATAAATATTGAATGATTGGCATTGTCTAAGAAAGTGGCCTTATAATGTGAGTATAAATTGGTGTAAACTTTCTCTTTTTTTTTTTTTTTTAAATAAAGTTGGGGTTTCACCATGATGGCCAGGCAGGTTTTGAACTCCTGACCTCAGGTGATCCACCCACCTTGGCCTCCCAAAGTGCTAGGATTATAGGCATGAGCCACCTCTCCCGGCCAGTGTAACCTTTCTCAAACATGAGTATCAAAAGCTTCAATCATAAAAATGGTGGCCTAGCAAAACTCCACGGCTTAGTGGTTTACATCAAGGAAATAATTAAAGACATGTATGAAGATTTAGGCCAGGCGTGGTGGCTCACGCCTGTAATCCCAGCACTTTGGGAGGCTAAGGTGAGCAGATGCAAACAGAAAACACTGTATAAATACAGGCCAGGCGTGGTGGCTCACGCCTGTAATCCCAGCACTTTGGGAAGCCAAAGCGGGCAGATCGCCTGAGGTCAGCAGTTTGAGACCAGCCTGGCCAACATAGTAAAGACCCGTCTTCTAAAAATACAAAAATTAGCCAGGCGTGGTTGTGCATCCCAGCTACTTGGGAGGCTGAGGCAAGAGAACCACTTGAACCTAAGAGGCAGAGGTTGCAGTGAGTCAGGATCATGCCACTGCACTTTAGCCTGGGCAACAGAGCAAGTTTCTGTCTCAAAATAAGTTTAAAAAAATTAAGCGCCGGGCACGGTGGCTCAAGCCTGTAATCCCAGCACTTTGGGAGGCCGAGGCAGGTGGATCACGAGGTCAAGAGATCGAGACCATCCTGGTCAACATGGTGAAACCCCGTCTCTATTAA